ATCTCACCCATTTCTGTCTATTGAAATTGTTCATGATGATGGAAAGCATGAAATGTTGCTTCCTCCATGAAGATTGCCCTCATCTCACCCACAACTGGAAATGAATTCCCCTAGCATTGCTTTGGGGGTGGGTCTTTTTTGCCTCTCTTAATCACTTTTCACATTCTATTTTTATTTTGTTCTTTTCTGTCTATTTCTTATCTCCATTACTAGGGAGAATGCCTGGCACCTAGTAGGTGTCTGATAATTTTTTTATTGATTGAAAACAATCCTCCTTTGAATGGCAGAAATCTTTTCTTTTTCATTCTTTACAGGGATCTAGTATGTTGTCTCAAACATAATAGCTGATTAATAAATGTCTTGAAATGCATGAATGGGACTCTGACATCATCACCCACTTCACCTACCTATGACCTTGTTCTCATCTACTCCTACTTCCTTTGATGTCTTTTTCTAGGAATGATTGATTACCTCTCTCTCATGCATCTTCAATTTCCTGCCCCCTCCTTCACTAGCTCCTTGTCATCTTGCTGCAAATAGTATTGGATTTCCCCAATCCTTTTTTTTTGGGGGGGGGCACGCCTAGGCAATGGAGTTAAGTGACTTGCCCAGGATCACACAGCTAGTAAATGTTATGTGTCTGAAGCCACATTTGAACACAGGTCCTCCTGATTTCAGGGCCTCTGTTCTATCCACTGTGCCACCTATAGCTGCCCCCAAATCCTTTTTTTTTAAGATTTTTAATCATAACAAATATGTATGGCACCTTCAAGCTTGTAAAGTGGTTTATGTAAGTTACCTCATTTAATTTTCATAATAAGTCCTGTGAAGTAGATACTCTACACATTGTCCTCATTTCATAGGTGAGGAGAAGTCAAGTTATTCTTCCATGTCACATAGATTAAGTATCAAAGTTTGGATTTAAACTGGGGTCATCCTGATTCTGATCCTAGGACTCTACTCTACTATGCTACTCTCCAGTAAACTACAATCTCATCCCTCTCCTTCTCTCTATTACCAGACTCCTTTAAAAAAGGTGTCTACTCTTTTCTCAAATCCTTGTGGTCTTGTTTCTGTATTCCAGTCATCCTATTGACACTGTTCTTCAGAGGTTACCATTTATTCCTCCTTTTGAAATCTAATAGCCTCTTTTGAGTCCTCATCCTTTATCTTTCCGAAGTTGGTGAACAGTTTTTCTAGATGCTGTCTTCAATTTCCTTAGAATACCAACAGTTCATTGGTTCTTCTCTCATGTCTTTAGTTACTTCTCTGTCTCCTTTACAGGCTCTTTTTCTTCTTTCCCATCCTGACTTCTCTTTCTACATTCTCTCTCTTCACAGTCTTATTTACTGCCATGACTTTAACTATCACTTCTACATAGATGAATCCTAAATCTATACCTCACAAAGAGTCAGACAAGACTAAAAAACGACTGAACAACAAAATCTATACCTCCGTCTCTGACTTCTCTCTCAGCCTCCAGACTCACATCTTCAACTGCCTTCAGGGCATCATGGGTATTTTGCTGACACCACAAATACAGCAGACCCCAAGTTGAACTTCTTATCTCCCTTCCTCAGTCTGCCCTTCTTTTCACTTTACAATTTCTGTCACTAGTGCTCTTATTCAACTAAACCCCCTTTTTTTGAAACTTTGGTGTTATCTTTTACTCTTCCTTCTCTCATATCTAATCATTTATCAAGCCCTGTTAATTTCCATTTCCATAAGCTGAGTCATATCCACCCCCTGTTCTCTGTTCCCCCTGCTATCATCCCAGTACATGTCTTAGTTATAACCTACCTGCGCTAATGGAATGGTATTCTAACAGGTTTTTCCACCTCCATTCTCTCCCTCATTCAAACCATCCTCACATTACCACCAGACTTGTCTTCTGTATGTACAAATCTCATACTTATGCTCATTCCTCTGTCCAGAATCCTCAACTGGTCTCTTAATTCACTGCAATTCAGCTGGGGTCTACACATATTTATTTCCTAGTGAGTAAAGTTCAAATTCTTTTGCCCGGCCTTCAGAACCTTTCATCCTCTAGAGCAGGGCTTCTTAAACTTTGTCTGTTCGCGACCCCTTCAGCACTTCTTAATCTGTGAGTTGAGACCCACAGTTTAAGAAGTGCTGCTACAGCCAGCATACGTAGTCATCTTTATCTCCTACTTCCCTTTGTATATTATGCGCTTCAGCCAAATGTGGTGCTTGCTGTCCCTATATAAACTTCTGTAGTCTCCTTGACTTTGTTTAGTCTGTTTTACATTTTTTGAATACCTTCTGCACCATATCCCCAATTACCTTTCTTCAGATGGGAGTGGAAAGGAGTGGTGGTATTTACATCAATGGACAAGCATTAAGCACCTACTATGTTCTTATCACCATGCTTGACTCCAAGGATACCCAGACATAAACAAAGTAGTCAGTGTGCTCTAGGAACTTCACATTCTAAAGGAATTTCCCATGATAGCTTTTTTTGGTTCAATTATTAGTTCATGTCTATAGGGGAAATAAAACAGGATTCTCTGGATCTCACTGAGGAGGTTTTGTAGTATTCTGGGACTTAGTGGTGTTCATACAATGTCACTTACAAAGTGGAATCTCTGAGGACCCTATCATCTATAGAAACTATCTCTTCAATTCGGATTCCACCGGAATCTTCCATGTTGGCTAGCATAGGTCTTCTTCTTTTATGTCCCACTCACTCAGAGGGCTGGCAAACAAATTTATCTCTATGATTATATCTATCAAAGAATCTTAACATATTTATAGGAGACATCTTGTTGGAAGAAAGATTTTAAGACTACATTTTGGTCTACTGAGTCAATTTTTAAATATAATCAGCAAACAATAAATTATTCAATATCTCATCCTCCCCAGCTTTGTCAGTTGTGTAACTGTGAAGAAATGGTATAATACAGAATTGTTTTCATTTATAGAAATCCTATACCTCCCCCCACCCCAGAGTGTTAGCCATGTAAAGTTACAAATCTCACCTTATGTATCTTAGTATCTTTACCAGTGACTAGTGTAGTGTTATGTACATAGTAAATTCTGTGTGATGCTGGGTAAATCATTTGACTTCTCTCAGCCTCAGTTTTCTCACTTGTAACATGGGGATAATAGCACTTACCTCAGTGTTGTTGTGAGGATCAAGTGAGATAATGTATATAAAGTGATTTTTAAAACCTCAATACACTCCATAAATATTGTTATTGTTATTAGTAAGTATTTTTGTTATTACTAACAACTATTGTTATTAGTAAGTACTTGTTGAATTGAATTAGATTAATCACCCCAGAGAAGCAAGGACTAAGAAATCTAAACACCTGCTGGAAGATGTACTTTTTATTTATGTTTTCTTTATTTCTGGGGAAATGCTGCTAGCCATTTGTAATTGTTGGGTTGATGCCTGAGAGCCTATGCAGAATAGAGGTGTTTACTACCTATCCTTTCAGGGATTGGTTCAACCAAATCTTTTTGAGTTCTGCTGTCCTGGCATTTATGAAATATTCTTTGGCATAAGAGGAATAAATACACCAAGTGATACTATCAGAGGTGTTTAAGACAATTTGCAATGTAAGACAGGTGTTACATAGCCTTGTGGCTATCTCTAAACAGCTCTAAATCTCTTCTTCCTCCATCTGAGATATAAGTAGAACAAGTGGTTATGAAAACTGTAGGCAGTGTAGTCAAGCAGATTAGGGCTTCTATTTCCTATGTATTGTTTCTGAGCCAGATATTATTGATTATGTATCCCATCTGAGTGGTCAGAGTTCGCCTCCATCAGTATTGTTCTGGGTGTACCAAAGTATGTATTTTATAGAGGTTCCCAGTGGCTCACAAGGAAAATAAAAACTTGAGCTACATTTACCTCCCTGAATACTTCTGAAAAGTCTCCATAGGGAATTTGAATGTTCAGTCTTCTATGAGACTGTCATCGGCTGCCAAGCAGAAACAAGAAAGGAGTATGAACTGTATATCAGTGGAATAGGAGGTCATAGGTTCAGAGACCCTGAGCATGCTCTGTTTCTTTTCAATATGGCAGAAGAGCTATGTTCCTGGTATCTAGCCACCAAAATATCCCAAAAGTATTTGGATAAAATTCCAGGAATGCGAGAAAAATGAATGCTCGGGGGGAAAGCCCAGGGCAGCTTTAACCACAGTTACTGCATACCGGAACACAAATCAGCTTAAAAATACTTCATAGATAGGGAAGTTAAACTGGTTTTGTGCTATGAAGACTTAAATAATGCCTCTCCTAGAAATACCAGTGAGATACCAATAAGAACTATGAATACACAATTTGAAGTTTGTGTGAATGTTGAACATTATATAAAGAAAAGAAACAAAATGAAATAGTAAGGGAAATGTAGAAATTGTAATTACTTTTTTTTCTAGTTATAATAACATTTATTTCCTAATCACCTCTGTCATTCAAAATTTTTCAGAGTATTGAATTATTCATATAGTAAGGTTGTACATGAATATTATTTCCATTAGGTTATTTTCTCCCTTTTTTAAAAAAATTTCAGGTTTAGAAAATAAAAACCAAATACAGTTTATCTATTCAACTTCAGCAGCTTTTTATTCAGTCTACATATGAACTATAGCAAAAAAAAAAATCCCAAGTAGCATGTAGCTAGCTTCAATATTGCATATATCTATCATATCTACCAGATTAGCATGTGTATCTTAGTGTAATAGGACACTGTGTTTGTAGTCATAAAGGTACTGCTTTGAGCAGTGTGACCTTGAATAAATCACTTAACCTCTCTTAGTCTCAGTTTCTTCATTTGCAAAATGGGAATAATAACATTTATACTATTACCTCATAGGATTGGTGTGAGGATCATGAAAGTACTTTGTAAATTTAAGGTGCAATAAGTATAAGTTATTGTTAGTAAGTTTTTAGCCCACAATTCCATAATTATTGTGGAATAAGTATAGACACCCCTACTTTTTTTTCTCACCTCTCCACTCCTTTCTTTCCTCAGGCTACTATAACAATAGTACCAAAGTGGCTGTGAAAACTCTGAAGCCAGGAACCATGTCTGTGCAGGCATTTCTAGAAGAAGCCAACCTCATGAAAACACTTCAGCATGACAAGTTAGTGAGGCTCTATGCTGTGGTTACCAAAGAGGAGCCCATTTATATCATAACAGAGTACATGGCAAAAGGTAAGCATCTACTATTTATCCCAGTAATCATATTTTAAATAGTTAAACAATTCTACAAAAGATCCCTCTTCATGACATGAAAGAGACTTTGACTGCTCAAAGGCTAAGTTAGCAATGTCCAAACTCCAGAATGTATTAATTAATAAGTGGAACCAGTTTTGAGGGTAAGCGCCTGGTGGACTTAGTGTTTATAGTCAGTGTACCTGTCCAAGTAGGTGAGGGAGGCTCATTTTGCCCAGCAAATGATGAATGTTTTCTTGGCTGTGGGAACAGATGAAGACCACTTATTCAGACATGAAGTAGTGGAACATACAAAAACCATGGATATTTGGAAATATTGAAGTGTCTGATGTTCATTTTCTTAGATTAACTTCCAAATAAGAATATTTTTGTTACATAATTTTAAAATGTGAACTCTAACTTCCCAAACTAGTTATTTTTAATTTTATACCTTCTTGCATCATCTATGGACCTTGAGAATTCACTGGCTCTGCTGTGTAGGCATTCCATCCATTTTTCTAGATATCAACCTATATATGCCTTTTCATTCTGTGCAATCCTTGTCCATTTTCTTTTACGAATCCTAGATACACGACAGGGTATCTTGGTGATATCAGTAAAAGACTCATGTTTCCATCATGTCTGGTTCTTGTTATTTGACAAGACTCTCCTTTTTGAAACCCTTAGTAATTTAGTAATAGTTGTTAATCTTATTGAAGCCTACTTAACTCATTGTGTGATATATTTCTATTGCCCTTTGGGTTGCGTACTCTTATGATTCCTTTGAATGTATGGAGTTTTCTGACTCATTGCCAATGATTTCCATCATTGGAAGAATATTAGTGTTTTAAGACAAAGGCTTTGGTGACAGGAAGTAGCAATTATAATACTTTAAGATGTAAATCTTTAAAAAATCACCCAGCAAACTCTTATTCTTGTAAATTTTTTTAAAAATAGTTAGAAAACTATGAAACAATCACCCGACTCTGCTTTCTTCATGTGTCTGTCTACCCAGGAATACAATTACTAAGAAATAGTCAAATGGACCAGAAAACAGCTGTAGGAAAAAAAATGAGACAAATATATCAAGAAATTAAGAAGTCCTGGGAATGATAGAGAAATGACTATATTGCTGCTACAGAGCTGATCAGAAACGTTACCATTCATGTTAATAATACTAGAGATCAGTCAATCAAAGTCAGTCCAGTTTTAAGAAGTATGTGCTAAAAAAAAAAAAGAAAGCCTTGCTCTTGGGGTGTAGGATCCTGCTGCTCTCCAAACCAGATTAGTATTAGCCTTGAGCCTTAATGTGAATGCCTCATGGTAGTAAAGAGAAATCTTCCCAGGATGTTTAAGGACAGATTTCTACTTTAGTAGAAATTCGGTAGTTTAACCTAATCCTGGAAGACTATAGATTGACAGAAACCTTGATTTAGAAATGGATCTTAGAGCCCATCTAACCCATCTCCTTCATTTTATTGATGAGGAACTTGAAGGAATCAAGTGACTTGTCCAAGGTCACCCAGTGGGACTTAGCTAAGCCAGAACTGGAACCCAGCTCATCAAGCTTTAAATTCAGCATTCTGTTCACTTTATCATGCTGCTTCCATAATAATAATTAGCATTATAATAGCAATAACATCAATATTGAAAGTGGAAGGGGCGGGGGAAGGAAACACAATGATTTTTGTATTGTTTTTATTGGAGCATTCAGAAAATGTGATAGCTAATTCACAGGCATTTTATTTTTAGACGAGACTAATTGAGAGAGAGAGAGACAGAGAAACACCAAGATACAGAAAGTCAGAGATAGAGAGACAGAGGGTCAGAGACCCAAAGACAGAGTCAGAGATACAAAGACAGAAAATGAGGGAGACAGAGACAAAGTCAGAGAGAATATCTATCTATATCTTCATATCTATATCTCTCATCCTATTTGAAGCAATCCCTATTTTCACATATATTTTTACATTTGTGAAAGATATGAAGAATAGGTAGTTGACTTTACCTTAGGGAAAAGTATTATGACTACAAAACTTACAAAGTCTCAGAATTTAGAAAAGCGATGGTGATTTAAATTTAGTCTGGATTTTCCAGGGAGGGTAGGGAGAAATAGCACTGACTTCTTATTCTACAAACAGGGAGCTTGCTGGATTTCCTGAAGAGTGATGAAGGTGGGAAACTGCTGCTTCCAAAGCTAATTGACTTTTCAGCACAGGTAAATTTACTAAAAATTTAAGTGTCTACTGGTTTATGGATATCTTCTAGCCTTGAATTTTGTGTTAGGGTGTGTAAAATGTGTTATTCTGGGGAGCCAGATTTCCTATCGGTATTTCCCCCATGGAATAGCACATTCAGAGATGCACATTCAGACATACATTTCTTTGGGAGAGAAGAAAGAATGGTTATTTCTGAGTGAATCATAATGTATTAAGTGTGCTTATCCTTCAAGCTAGTAGGGCTTGATTACCCACGACTTCATTCTGGTTTCTATGGAAATAAGAGTTATTTTGGATGTCTTTATGAAGAGCTTTTATATTCCTAGTTCTAGCCATCTCCTCTGAGGCCGATTAACCTCTTTTTAGTCATTTCACCACCTGGAAAATGGGAAAAATAGAACTGAATTGCCTTCTTTGTGGGGAATTTATGAGAACTGATTTAATGCTAGTTAAGTAAAGCATCAATTGTACAAATAAATGTCTGGTAATGGTACTATCAAGCTGACTGGTACATACATTCAAACATTCAGAATTTTCAGAAAGCAGTGATAAAGGGTTTCTTTTCTCATTTTTTTTCTTATGTACTAAAGTGGCTAGTCGCATGTTTCTGAGAGATTTTAATTGATCTGTAATCTTTTCAATGGTGGTCAAGTGTGTTTTTAGGGTTTTTTTAAATATAATTTGAGTATGCATGAGAGCAGAGGCAATTTGCCAAGAAATCCACCTGACTTCCTGTAGACATGGCATCACTGTTGATGTCTGACAGTTTCCTTATGTCTATTAGATGCATATAGATTTTTGTGTTTGTTTAGTCCTCTGTATTGGTTTATGTGGTGATGTGTGAAGGGAAGGCCTTTTTCCTTATATTACATTATGTTACTATCTTACATTATTAAAGTATAATGTAACATAAAAGATAATTGTTGAAGTTGTGAAAGAAATGTGTTTTATATTTTTTAATCTCCTGCCCTGTTCCTCTCTGTTTCTCCTTGACCTCTTTATCTCTAAAAGCATTTTACAGGAAAACATTGAAAAGGGCCCTTTGTAAATAGCAAATCATATTCATAGGAAATGCTAATTGCTGGTGATGCTAGTGTACTCTGTAGGAGCACATTTTACCCACATCCTTCATCTAATAACACATGTAGTATTGGGTGGGAGCTATTCATTATAACCAAGGGAATGGAAGCCTTAATGAATGTGGCTGTCTCCTATGCCTAGAAAACCTTCCCTCTTCTCAGCTTCTTGGAATCCCTAGCTTTTCTCACAGCTTAGCTCAAAGGCCACCTCCTACACAAGGCCTTTCCTGATTACTCTCAGTTTCAAGTCAGTCAACAAGCATTCAGCATTTGTTATACTTACCTATATATATATGTTATTTTCTTCCAATAGAATGTAAGTCTCCATAAGACAGGGACTACTTTGTTTTTGTCTTTTGAATCTCTGGCACCTACTATCATTCCTGGACCATAGTTGGCTTTTAAATGCTTGTTGAATGAACGGATGCATGCTAGTTGAAGTTTCTCTAAATAGAATGTGCTTTTGGCACAGGGAGTAGAGCACTGGTCCTGGGGTCAGGAGGACCTGAGTTCAAATCTGGCCTCAGACACTTAACTAGCTCTGTGACTCTGTGCAAGTCACATAACCCTTACTGCCTCCCACAAACAAACAAACAAATAAATAAATAGAATGTGCTTCGTCTGAACGTGTCGAGGGTTAAACTGCAGGAGCATTTTCTTGTTGTTCTTGAATAGAGTGAGCAGAAAGGAAAGCTAGTCAGAACTTACTCTTGTATCTCCTTAAAGACTACCTGTCTGATACTCATGCTTTACTTACCAGGCCCTCAAATGTTTATGTAATTCTGTCTTTGTTATCTTTCTCTAGTCTCTCCACTTAGAATGAAAATATCAGGAAAAAGACAAAAATGCTTAGATAAATTATGGTGCTTGAGTTCTGCAGGGAATTAATACATAGCAATTTAGATTGCATAATATCTTACTGACCTTTCTTTGCCTCTATGATAACCATCAACTTAGAATTGGGAAATTCTGTAGTGTACATGAGGCTACAGTCAGCATGTTTTCAGATTTCCTAGTAGAAGTTTAAGTACATCAAGTGGAGGGTGGGATGGTAAGAAAGGGGACTGTTCATCTGGATAAACAACAGTACAACTCTGACAGAGTTATCTAGGATAGGATGAGGAGCAGAGAATTGTTCCCCAAAGCCTTATGGCTCATCTACCCTCCTCACCAGAAGAAACTTCAGATTCTTCAGTCCACAATTTCCCTTCCCCTCGCCATTGGAAACAGGAAGTTGGGTGAATACACATTACAACATCATACTGTATAAGCAATGATGTCATCACTTCCTGGTTTTGAATAGTTAGGGAAGGAAAAGCTTTTCTGATATTCAGGAGTAACCTCTTCCCAACTTGACTTCTCCTTCCAGTATGACACTAACTAGGTCATTCCTAATTCTAAACAGATTTGCTATAGAGCTTCACTTATCCTGCAAATAAATGGGGCACTTTCATTCTTCGTTCAGTGAAAAGGAAGATTATTTCCTTGTTAGAGAGACCAAGCCCTGAGGGAGTGTTATGTTCTCAGCACAGAGATGCTATATGTACTTCTCTCTTCTGGTTCTCCTTTTTAAAAATAGATGCTTTATTGATGCCTTTTTTGTGTCATTATCATTTCCTGAAACCCTCCCTCCTCTACCACTCCTGCGTTTGAAACTTTCCTTGTACAAGTCACTCAATCAATAAGCATTTATTAGGCTTCTACTATGTGTCAGGTACAAACTTGTATATAGCTGACAATGTATGCCTTGATACTATTTAATAATGTGCCTTATTTAATCATAGATTTAGAGCTGTCAGAGGACATCTAGTCCAATTCCCTCATTTAACAGAAGAGGAAACTGAGACCTAGAATGGTAAAATGACTTTCCCACGATCATGTGGGTAGTAAGTGGTTTTGAACCCAGATCAACTGACTCCCAATGCACCACCACTCATTCCACTGTATCATAGTCTACCACTTCTTTGCTGAGAAGAATAAGTTATATTTACTAGCTGTTCTTTGTAATCGAGATTAAATAGATTAGAGTTCTGATGTCTTTCAATGATGTTTTCTTTTACATTATTGTGGTCACTGTGTAAATTGTTCTCTTAGTCTTACTTCAGACTTCAGTCAATATCAGATCAAGTAATCAATTGAGAAGTAATTATTAAGCATTTAATGTGTGCTGGGCACTGGGGATACAAAGGCCAAAAAACTTAAATAATCCTTCTTTTTCATATACATCTTCTTACTGTGCAATAATATTCCATCGCATTGATGAACCGAAATTTATTCAACATTGGGCACCTTCCTTGCTAGTTTTTGTTTATTTGTAAAACCAAAAGTGCTACTATAAATATTTTTCTATCACGTTCCCTCTAGCTTTGACTCTCTTTAGGCATATCCTCAGTATATTCATTGGAATCAAATGGTATGTCAGCTTAACTTCTCTAGCAAAGTTCCAAATTGTTTTACTGACTAGTTGGAACAATTTTGAGCTACACCAGCGTACATTACACATCTTCCCACAGTCCTTTGAATATTTGTCATTTTCATCTTCTGTCATCCTTCCCTTTTTTGCCAATCTGATGTGGACAAGGTAAAATTTTAGCACTGTTCTCAAAGAGAAGGGAACTAACACCTTGTGGGTGCTTATTTAAGCAGCAGGGGATAAATGAGAGCAGTTATACAATCATAAAGTTGTAGAGTTAGAAGAGACTTTAGAAATCACCTCATCCATACCCCTCTTTTTTTAGTGGCCCAGAGAGGTAAAGCTGATCATTAAGAGTGTCAGAGTTTCCAGAATGAGAGAATAATCTTATTCCTATCTTAATCCTAGTGCCTTCCCTTCGTGAATTTTTTAGTATGTATCCTGTATGTATGTATGTAGCTTGTTTTGTATATGTTTTCTGTTGTCTTCTTCATTAGATTGTAAATTCCTTGAGGGCACAGACAGTCTTTTGCCTCTTTTTTGTGTTCCCAACACTTATCATAGTGTCTGGCACATAGTAGGTACTTAATAAATTTTTATTGATTATAATAATCTGACCTGGTCAAAGCATCTCTGGAGAATTATGTTTAGTTTAGGGCATCATGTTTTAGGAATAGTCTTTCTAGGTTGGAGCTCATTCAGAGGATGCTGATCAGAATAATGAGGAGACTAGAGACCATATCATAGGAGGGCAAAGTGAAGGAACTGGGGACAAAAAAAAAATTAATATGGATAAAATAGCTGTTTTCCAGTAACTTAAAAGATTTCCAAGTAGAAGAAGTATGCTGCTTGGTCCTAGAGGGCAGAAATGGGAACAATGGGCAAGATTGGCAGAGAGGCAGTTCTCAGTAATGAAAAACATCCCAACAGTTAGAGATAACAGCTAAGTGGGGCAGTGGGTAACGTGCAGTATTTAGAGTGAGGAAGATCAAAGTTTATATTCTGCTTCAGATGCTCAGCTGTGTGACTCTGGGCAAGTCACTTAACTTTTCCTCCTCTGTAAAATGGGTATAATGACAGCACTTACCTCCCAGGGTTATTGTGAGGATAAAATGAGATCATATTTATAAAGTGCTTTGCAAGCCTTAAAGCACCATATAAATGATATCGTAATTATTGTGGTCAAGGATAGGCTGCCTCAGATGGTGATGGGTTCCCTTATTCTAAGTGAATGAACATTTGTCGTTGTTGGTTTGAAAGGGGTTCTTCACTTCCTGTTGTTCTAAATGACCTCGGAAGTACCATCCAAATCCAAGTTGCCCCAAGCTGTAGCTGAAGTATCCATAGCAAACAATGGAGAAAAGTTGCAAAGGGCTTTTGACTCCAAGCAGACCAGAAGGGCAAGAACTAGGAAACTTGGTTTCTAGAAAGGATTCAGGGTGAGTTAGATAAGAATATACTAACTAAATTCTGGTGATAAGAGCAGGGGGGGGGGGGATTTGGTTGT